GGGATACCCCACACACACCCTGAGGGACAGGGGTCAGGCCCCAGGGGAATCCCCACACACACACCATGAGGGACGGGGGTCAGGCCCCGGGGGAATCCCCACACACACCTTGAGGGACAGGGGTCAGGCCCCAGGGGATACCACACACACACCATGAGGGATAGTGGTCAGGCCCCGGGGGATACCCCACACACCATGAGGGACGGGGGTCAGGCCCCGGGGGAATCCCCGCACACACCCTGAGGGACAGGGGTCAGGCCCCAGGGGATACCCCACACACACCATGAGGGATAGGGGTCAAGCCCCAGGGGATACCCCACACACACCATGAGGGACGGGGGTCAGGCCCCGGGGGAATCCCCACACACACCCTGAGGGACGAGGGTCAGGCCCCAGGGGATAGCCCACACACACCATGAGGGATAGGGGTCAGGCCCCGGGGGATACCCCACACACACCATGAGGGATAGGGGTCAGGCCCTGGGGCACACGCCACACACACCATGAGGGATAGGGGTCAGGTCCCGGGGGATACACCACACACACCATGAGGGACGGGGGTCAGGCCCCAGGGGATACCCCACACACACCATGAGGGATAGGGGTCAGGCCCCGGGGGATACCCCACACACACCATGAGGGATACGGGTCAGGCCCCAGGGGAATCCCCACACACACCATGAGGTATAGGGGTCAGGCCTCGAGGGATACCCCACACACACCATGGGGAAACTCCACATGCAAGCACACACACACGCCACCCTGGTCTCTTGCTGTGTTGCCATGGTAACATCTTGTGGGGTTTATTTTGACTGCCCCCACAGCTGCCCTGCCTACCTAGGCTTTAAAAAGGAACAAGCACATGCCCATTTTGGCGAGACGAAGGTTTGGGCACCCTGACCACCTGGTGGAAACGTGACAGGAAAAGCCTGACACATCAGTTTCTGAGACTCGACCGATGTAAAAGACAGGAAGAAGGAGACAGGGAAAGACAAAAACAGACGGCGATTAGGGTTACAAGTGTGTGGGTGGCATTCTATTGTATTGGGTGTCTTGACTGCATTCTTCCTTTGACTAGGTCGCCTCTCTGCAATTCACGTAGGTGTCTGCCTGTCCCTCACTCTGCAGCTTACAAATATTCCAGCACCAAATATTCTAGAATTTTTATTAACAACCCCACCAGCACTGGCGACGGGCCAGAGGTGAAGAGTGGAGAAGATGGAGAGAGGTGGGGATGGGGGGTGATGCTCACTTGGTAGTCTGCTGAAAGCCGGGGCATGGAAGTGGCCCTCCCATGCCCTTCCACTGGGGGGCAGTGGTCACTGTCCGAGTAACCATCACGCCTCATCTCTCTCATCTCTACTGTCTGCAAAACAAAGGGGGGGCAGGTGTGACTATCACTAGTCTGGGGTGGCCAAAGTGAGGCCTGGTTTAGCCCAGGTGTGCATGAGTAGGCACCCGGGGAGGAAGCCAGACAGGGCCCCAGCATGCCGGCATGATCCGCCGCTGTACCGGACCCCCGAACGACCCCTCCATACATCCATCTGCGTGTCCATCGGTGTCAAAGCCGGGTCGCCACCGAAGGGCTGGGCTGAGGGGGGCGCTCTGCCAGGGTGCGGGACATGGGTGTGGAAGGGACCCAGGGCGGGAGGCAAAACTCAACAGTGAGGATGGAGGCTCATTTGTGAGCTGATTTTTAATTTTTTCTTTTGTGGGGGGGGGGGGGGGGGTACAGATGGAACTGCGTGAAGGCTGTTGGAGAAGTGTAGATGGTGTGGGGGGCATAAGCTTTCATAGACACAAACTGAATTGTGGGTTGGGCACATCATGGGACTGATCACATATGATCTGTGCCTGATTTTTAAGACTAAATAACATGGCTAACACAGACTGTTTGAGTGTTTATCACATTATTCCTGTTAAAAGAGGGCTGTAGGAACCCATGAGAGGCAATATTCTGCCCAGTTCCGTTGATCATGTCTGCAATATGATTAATCGTAATTGTGTCAGGATCAGCCCCTACCCTGTCCTGTTTTTTCCCTGTCTGGCCAGCAGGTGTCACTGGTCACCCCTTTCCTAATGCTTGAGTCCTTCATGATAATGACACACACCCAAGTCTTGTTAGTCCTGGCTATACTGTTTGAGGCCGTTGTATTTTTAATGTCCCTCACCTGTGCCTTGCTGCTCCCAGCCACAGTGTTTGGTTGATTATAGCCCGCACCTGTCCCTTGTGGAAGGCCTTGCCTGCGCTTACTCTGTTCTCCAGTTGGTCATTGTGTCGCTTACTGCCTGTGCTGCTTTGTGTTTTGTTCTCTGCTTTGCTGGTCCCCACAATGTAATATAAACATAATCCACATAGACACACAGACACACACCTATAATGGAAGTTGACGAGTGTCCGCTTTGTACACAATGAAGAAAGGTTGTAATGAAATATCTTCCTCACTGTTTTAACTGAAAACAGAGTTTTCAGCTCTGGTGCCAGACATTTGCATTGTGTAATACATTAACCCTGCACAGTCATACCTGCGCAACGGCGTTACCAAGATAAGACTGGACTTCTAACTGAGCAACGCAAGACTCTTCCAGATGCTAATGACGGCCTACACTGTACCGCAAAATTCTGACCACAGTCCTACCGGGCATCTCACCGTCTCCAAGCTCTTTCTGTCATTTTTTTGGTGGCATCAGTGAAAGGCACATATTCCTCAACAGGATTCATTTCACCACCATGGGCACCATTTCTACCAGCACATTTCACAGCCGCCTGTGCCCATTGCATCCAGAACCTTCCGCAGGTCTCTCTAAAGGAGAGTCAATCACTCGCAAGTGGCATATGAATGTGACTCAGCACAGAGATAATGCACTGGTGTATAGAGTGAAGATCAGTTAGCTTCAACAGTCCATGGGTTCTCCTGGATTCAACTTTAAATGTTATCACTTAAACACGGATATTTTTTGATACTAGTCCAAGTTCGTACATTTGATAATTTTTGCCCTCTGTGGCTGTTTGAGACACTGCAAAATTTATCTGCAAATCTATATTTGGGGTTATGTGCTTGCGTGCACATGTCTTACCCCAGGGTCATGCTGGTTGCTGTGCAAGTCATCCAGGTGTGGCCTCTCTGGACTCCAGCTGTCAGCTTTCCGGAACATCTCCTGTGAGCGTGAACCCACCCAAGGCTGGCTGTCTATCATGCCTCCCGCTGGGGGCCTGTGAGAGTACGACAGGAAATCTAAGTTTGGAGGAGGGGGGGGGGCACTATGGTCCACCTGTGGCCTTAAGGAAAACTACAACAGAGGAGACGACTTACAAAGCGCTGACTGGTTCTGGACGTGTTTCCGGGGGGAGGGTGACTCCTTGGCCTCCGTCCTTAGCTGGGGAAGGTGGCTCCATGCGTTGAAACATTAACGGCGTTCGGTTCTGTGTGATAAACGACATGGTTCTATAATTGGTATCGCACTCTAATGGGAAAGCGGATCACAACGTCTGCAGTACAAACGAAGGGCTCCGGCAACAGCAGAGGCACAGTCCAAAGGCTGTGCTGTCATGCAGGCACCAGAAACTGACTATGCCAATATACAAAAAGACTGGCCGTTGAAAGAAGTATTCCAACAAGTTCGATTCAGCGACCCTGTGGTTCTTATAAGTTGGGCACGTTGCATTATTGGAGAACAACAAACCACAGCAGTATGTTAGCTAAAGGCACAGAGACACCAGAGAATAATTATGTTCTCCAGTATATCAAAAAACAGCTTAGAGATAATTACGTCTTGTCGCCAACTGATACCCAGGGATTCATAGAATTGCCTCAAAATGTGTCTAATCCTATGGCACAATGGTACTAAAGATGATGAAGAGTGCTGGGTCCTTCAGAGTTCAGTGTTCACCAAAGAGAACAAACCCAACACGTCAACAGCTAGAAATGGAGGCCAGTGAGAGGACAAACAAGCAGAAATGTGCATCACCGATCTGAAATCAACGGAGGAACTTGTCAGTCAAAAGTCTAGCACGGTTCGAGCTGTGCATCGGAGGCTGGAGAAACACAGGACAGACATACCAGAACAAGTAAGAAGGGGTGCAGAAGAATTCGAGGTATGGAAAGAAGTCAGGCCTTGGGCTGGAGTGTCTGAGGAAAGCTTATACACCGAGGGAACATGCGGCTCATACACAGACTCCAGCTTGGAACAGAACCATCCATGGATGTTGAGAGGACTTGGTCTCTTTATTGAATACAGGCTAATTATATTCTTTATGGGCCTCCAGTCACCCTACGCCTGAAACCGACAGTATGCATGATCTACTTCATAACAGGACCACAAAGAGGCACCAGAGTAACCACTGAGCTTGTCGTTCTGTCAAGGAGAAACAAAGGCTGCCTATTTCAGGTAAACATAAATTTGAACAATCGACTGTTGGGACAGATGAGCTCTAGTTTTATAGATTGCAGCAGGGATAAGGCAGTGATCACATGTACGGTGCGGTCTCTAAAGCGATGGAGAGCAGGGGTCTGCAGGAAACAGGAGAGGAAGAGAGGATATGGAGACCGTGAAGTGGGAGGCAGAGGTGGAGGTAGAGCAGGTTCTCCATGTGGTGAGAGAGCACATGGAGAGCCTGTGTGGTGAAGCCAAACCAGTACCTGCTCCTCCCTCAGAGCCTGAAGCTTCTTAGCCTTGCTCTGTCGGTAGTACTCCATGATCATCATGGCTGCATAGATCTTCCCTACGGTCAAGTCGGTTGCTGCCAGGAGAAACAAAAAGTTACCATGAGTGATTAGTCGATGTGAGATGGGCCTCTGGCGGGGGGAACGGGAGCGGCGGACGAGATGAAGCACAGACATGCTAAGTTGCATACAATATTTCCTCGCAATCAGGAATGTTCTAGAAAACCAGCTTTGATTCTGAGTGGATTTAGCATTTATGGGAAGGTGTGGAGTGGTCTTGGTTGCAGCATATTGTGTCACATGATGCTCCCAGCAGTCACTGAGAAGGTACTGGGTAGTACTGTATAGGACTGGGCTGGGCTCCAGCACAATGCTGTCTAACAATCTGGAATACGGAAGCAGAAATGGCAAGCCATGCTTGCTCAGGGGGTCCTAAGCAGTGAATGGTGCTGAATGAGACAGAAGCTGTCTTCTAGTGGTCAGGTGATTTGGGGAACCAATCCCTTTGCGGCTCACCCTTGTGCGGGGTAACCAGCATGTCCAGGTTCTTCTGAGAGAGGTTGGGCCATATGGCCATCATCTCTTTCCGCAGCTCTGCATCCATCTGGTGTTTGTCTGCGCCCCCTGTTCATGGGCATCGACACACACGCACAAACATTGGACACACGGGAGGACAGGCACCCACACGCGCATACAACAGCCTAAATACACAGCTAAATCACAGGCATGCATCTGTACGTGGGCGTGGTTATTTTTGTGGATAAGTGCTTGTAGACACCACCAGAAGGTTGCCCCCACTGTGATTACACTGTCTGGGGGAGGAATTGTCTCTCTAACCCACGTCACGCCAATGGATCTCCAGCCACAGAGATCAGCAGAAAAGGCTGATTTCCTTTAGCCACCCTAAAATATTATTATTTGTATGCCTACTTTTGCGCTACTTATAGGAATGTTGTATTAAATGTTAATATAAGGCTATTTCTATTGTTATCACTACAGATGGATAGCTATGTCTAGCGGCATAAAGGCTTTACTTGTAATGGATTTTTCAGTGTTTAAAGGGCAGCCTGATGACTGTAAGGCGAAAGAGGACTTTGAGATACTTTACTCACGTACCCTTGGCTATCTTGATATCCAGCGCTGTGCGGATTAAGGCCATGAGGGTAGAGTTGAAATAGACAGTGTTGTCGTCACCGACTGGCAGGTCCATCCTTAGCAATCTCTGTGGAGAGTCAGTCAAGGTGGATGAGGGAGGGGGGTTTTGGAAGGTTGAGCTGGCGTGTTCTGATCCTCATGGAAGGGGGGAGGGACAGGGGAGGCGAGATTCGGAGGGGGGCGCTCTATAGACTTTGACGTCTTTATGCTTCTGCGTTTGGCGTCATTTAAAGGCCAGAACCAACATTGCTTCACCGATTCTTCTTTATAGTTCCAGAATTTGGGAGAAATCAAGCCTAACCTATTGTCACTTTTATTTCCAGTCAATTGCCATGATCAGAATGCACTGGAACCTACTAGTTTTTGTGCTAATCCATTCAAGTCCCTGAGTGCTTGTGAGGGCCATGATTTCCAGTCCAAGAATTGAACTGGTGGCTATTAATTTACTAATTCTGATCCCAGGCAGGAATCCACTCTCAAAGTGCGCCAGCAAGCGCTGTCAACCCGTACGACTTCTGCAGATATACAGCTAGGTGTGTTTCATTTTAAGCAATACAATTAGTTGTAAACACAAGCTGCAGCTTAGCAATTCAGTGTAATCCTATAATAATGCATCCAAAGGAGCCCTTCTGTATAATACGTTTATAGCTGTGTAAATGATGTTTATTGGTATACAATGAGTCCTTACCACTAACGCACAAATGTTTGGGTTTTAATAAATTGTCCTAATAAGGGCCCCCACAAGCATCGAACAGCAGCATCGCGGTCAGCGTTTCAAATGTTCTTATCTTAGGGTGATATTTGGGCGGGGGGGGGGGGGGTAACCCCCCCCAGCCATAGAGCACCCCACCTCGAAGGAGGTTCCCTGATTCTTCACAGAATAGTTCCTCGCTCAAACCAACAGATAAACGAAGGATTGGAAACAGTGAGCCGAACGCTTTGTGTTCAGCCTTCGTTTATCGTTTCTCTGGTCCACCACAGAGTACCGAAGCACATGACTGGCAGCGTGTCAGGCTGGCCGCTCAGCACGCGTGGGCACGTGTCGCCACGATGCAGCCCGGCACCTCCACTGCCCAAGCGCAGCCATGCAGCAAGACAATTCCCAGACCCCATGCAGCATGCAGCAGGCGCATAACACTCACTACGGGACAAGCAGCAGCGCAACCATGCACAGAAAGCGTTGCTGGTTTGGTTCGGTTATTTTAATTTTTTTAGTTTTTATTAGTTGAGTACAAACTTACTAAGACTCATTCACTGCTAGCCTAAAACAATGGTGCAAATCAGATTTTTTTTTACAGATAGTCTGACGTTAGTGCAATTTATAGGGTTAGACTATATTAACATTCCTCAGAGAAAGTGGAAAAAAAGTAATGGTTTGACCAACCAAATTTAGGGCGAATAAGCAAATGCAGGGGAAAATGTTACTGTAAAGTTATGGGGTCATACTACAAAAAAGGTACAAGAAAGTGCATCGTTAGAGAATCAAAGAAAAAATGTAGTTGGAGTCATGGAAGGGAGGTGGGAAGAAGACAAGCAGGAACAGGATGAGGAAATGTGAGGCAAAGAAATGAGGAACGATATCCAAGCTGGCCAACGATATCCAAAATGGCCAATGATATCCAAGATGGCCAACGATATCCAGGATGGCCAACGATATCCAAGATGGCCAACGATATCCAAGATGGCCAACGATATTCAAGTTGGCCATGTTCACTAAGCAGGGGTCATACTGAAGGGTGAAGCTCCTCAGCAGGAAAGATCTGGGGTGACTGGGGGGTGCTGGATGTCATACGATGCCACGGGCTTTCACTTTCACTTTCAGATTAGGGGAAACGGTCTCATCAGAGTGCTTGGAGGTCGCACACAATGATTTGCTGGGAGCTGACATACTGTACAGCTCTGGAAAAAATTAAGACACCACGGCAAAACTTTCAGTTTCACTCATTTCTCAGTTTATGGGTACACGCCCGTGTAAAATATACATTTTTTTTTTCTAAGCTGCAGCCTGGCTTTTCTCTGTTTCTTGTTAATGAAGGGCTTCGTCCTTGCTTTCTGGGTCTTCAGTCCTGCTTCTAGGAGCCTGATATGAACTGTCCTAGCAGTGCACTTCACAACACAAATGTTTCACATTTTTTTGAAGGCTACTTGAGGTCATCTTCCGATTTATGAGGCACTGTTGGATAAGTTGACAGTCATCTCTGTCATTAGAAAGTCACTTCTGCCCTCTGCCTGGCTGGTCATTGCCAGTGTCTCCTGCTTCCCCTGGTTCTTGTGTACTGCTGTCTTAGAACCTTTCAGCTGGGAAGCAGCCTGCCTTGCAGTGTAGCCTTTTTCCAGCAGAACCAGGGTTATACCAGGATTTAAAAATGCAGAATTTTTTAAAATAGAGTGGTCTCTTAATTTTTTCCAGAGCCGTATGTTTCATCTCCTATGCAAACCTATTCCTCCCCCATTTAATCAGTACAGAAGCCCACAGTAGCTGAGCTGTGGACCTTGGGAGCGGTTCCATTTGGACAACAGGCCCAGAGCCGTGGGAAAGCAACCACAAGGTGGGGCAGAAGATTCAGGTGAGACGGAGAAGCAGTGGCAGAAGAGCATTAGGGAGGATGTGGCGAGGAAGCGAGGACCAGGTGATGCGGTCTCCTTTCTGGGGTGAGCTTCTGCGGAACACTCTCCCAAAACAGCTTCCCTGTCTCCCTCATGACCCAGCATCCTCTTAAATATCCTTCTCCTATCTACTGTGTCCTACTATATGCTTCTACTGGACACTTAGCTTAAACCTTCAAACCGTGCAACCGTTTCCGCTGCTCCGTTTGCAGCCCAAGGCTTCATTAATCATGGATTCGGCCACGAAAGTGTTTAGACAGCAGTGACCTGGACGTCCTGCTGACCCAGTAGGCGAAACTGAAACAGGAGCTGATCTTGTGTATGAGGGACATCAACCATAGATAGAAAAAGTAACTCTGTGGGGTGTGGCCAGGTAAATGGGGAGAACAGGAAGGGGGGGAGAGCAGCGAGGGGGGGGAAGAAGGGCAGGCCTGTCTGCCAAGGCCTAGTCTGACCCCATGCCACTAGGAGGGGGGGAAGGGGGCGGGGGCTAGGCATGGTGGTTAAAACTTAGGGGGGTGGCATGCAAAGCAAAGGGAAGAGATACTAGGCACAGCAGGTAGATTGGAGGGATCAGAAAAAGACTAACTGCATTGATATAAACAAAGAAAGGACAGGAGGAAAAGTCAGTCCACAGGATCCCTACACTGTCTGCTAGGAAGAGACTCTCATTCAGTAAAATGCCTGCCTGTTAGCACTGTAACTGACATTAGGCACCTGTTATTTTAAACCTTCCCATTCGAACATGATTGGTTCTCCTCAGCTATTGGAAAAGCTTTATGTGTGTGAATTAATGTACACAGGATTCTGGGAAATAGAAAGAAACCCAGCCTGCCTGCCGTGTGTGTGCGGGACGTTGCCGGGTGGCTGGCCGCAGGAAGGGAAGACATGGGGGACCGAAGAGCCGCACCCCTCATCCGCCCCTCTGCATCTGCACGGCTGCGCGCACGTTTGCACGTTTTCACGTTTGCGCGTTTGCCCGAGCGTGGCTGACCTGCGCGACATGCGCCCGCGCTGGGGCCCTTCCTCGAGGAAGCCCTTACCGCCATCCTCGCTGCTTTGGCTTCGAAGGCGGTCTCATGAAAAAATCACGCGCCATACATTAGAGTTTCCACTTTAATGTATCTTTTTTTTCATGGGTCTCGGTGGGGGAAACACGGAAAAAGCGGGGGAGCCTTTCGACGCGTGATACTCCCGTTCGGCCGCGGTCGCCGGCACGCTGACGGCAGCCCGGAGCTGGCCCCTCGCCTCGCAGATTACGGCGGACGTACGTGGGCAGAGTGCGGCACAGAGAAGCGGACAAGGTCGCCCCGTCCCCCCCTCCTAGCGGACAGGCTGACCGGGCTGGCTTCACTGACCCTTCACAAAACCACAACCACGACCAAACCCCCCACCCCGGGCAACTCCAAAAAACACCAACACTACAGACAACAGCGCCACCAGCCCCCCCATCCGGCTCGCTCTACCTTGTAGGCAACCCGGGCCGGGCATTTCTTCCCCAGACCCAGGGGGGGGGGCATGAGTCTGAGCATCTGATACATATCACTGTAACTGATCCTGCCACTGCAGTGCCAGAAAACACACGGGGGGGAATATATGGGATTTAAAATGATAGTAATAATAATAATAAAATGAAACAAACACCAAAATAAGAGGGGAAAAGAAAAGGAGAAGAGCAAAGTTACTGTTTTGGCTGGTCAGGTCTGGGGAGAGATTTGATCTGATTGCGTTTAATGGTTCTGCACAGAGGAATATGGGAGGGAGGAAAAGGTGGGGCGATATTAGGGTTAAAAACAATTCTATGCAAGCTGGGCATAGAACAGCAGGGGGTATTTGGCAGGCAGAAAGCACCCACTACTTGTCTGTACAAACGCAGTGATGTCAATGCAGTAAAACACCACCACTCCCCCCTCCCCACCCGGGCCACCGCCGCCCCCACCTTGATGCAGGCGGCTGTACCCACTGTGCCAAGCCACAGCCGAACAGCAAGCCAAAAGAAAAAAAAAAAAAAAAAACAATGTGGACACGCCGAAAAATCAGACGCGCTGCGCTTCTGGTTCTAAGAAGAGCCTCTTTAAACGGGCCCGCCTCATGCGTCTCTGGGCGGTCGCATTGCCCCGCGCATTCTCGCTTTGAGTTGGCATGGAGGAGAGGGATGGAGGGAAAGTAACGGAGTGAGAGAACGGAACGGAAATGAGAAAGAAGACAAGCGACATTCATTCCAGTCTCGATGCTAGCAGTTGGTTAAGGTTTTAGCGGAGTTCAAACCTTGCAGGCCACCCTATGGGGGCATTTCTTGCCTAAGCCCAGGGGGGGGTCGATAACTCGCAATAAACTGTACATATCCTTATAATGAATGCGCCCGCTGGAAGAAGAATACAGGGAGTTAGAGCAGGGAGAGCTGGAAGAAGAGCACACAGTTAAGAGACACAGCAATAGCACACAAGACTCCCTGTCCCAGCTTCAGGTCCGGGGTGCTGTTCCAGTGCAGGTTCCTCTTACCCGTCTCGGAGCCGCAAACGGCGGACCCCGAGCACCACCACAATGGTTAACTCTTCGCACGCTGATCCTTGACCTCCTCCCTCCATTTCATTGGCTACCCTCCTCTACGTCTACTGCCGAAATGATGAAATGTAAATTTTAAGACATAGTGTGTCCCTGAGTGTGAGAGAGACTGCGGCATCGTTGAGAAGCGCACATGCTGTAGATGAATGTTCATTACTATACTTTCATTTCTTTTCGTCTCTCTCTGTTTAATTGGATGATGCTTTACATTAACTGCACCTTCATAATGAATTCATTACTGCATTCATAGAATATTCAGTGCACCTTCGTAGTGCATTCGTAGAACATTCACAATCAGCATGTAAGTATACCTTAACATCCCAACATGCTTTAACGGCAACAAACATTATACGACTATACGATTATAATGTTTATTATTATCATATCTTATTTGTTATTAATGTATAATAAAGCTGTAAAGGTATGTTAAGAGGTATACTAAAGCATTGCAAGTCCCACTCCAAAGTACTGAAGTACCAAAAAAGTACCCCAGCTGGTTTGGTAGTTTAGGTACTGGAAAGTACCAAGTACTGTACCAAAAGTATGGTACTTGGTGTGGTGGAAGCACCCTTACATGCTACTTATGAATGTTCTATGAATGCTTTATGAAGGTGCACTGAATGTTCTATGAATGCTTTATGAAGGTGCACTGAATGTTCTATGAATGCTTTATGAAGGTGCACTGAATGTTCTAGGAATGGATTATAAAAGCATAATGAAGGTGCCGCTAATGTAAAGCGTGTAATTGTAAAGTTTAGGCTACATGTGGCTTCTGTTCATTTGTTCATGAATGATCAAACAGTAGCCATACTGCTGGACCTGGAGAGTTTATGTTAATAATAAACGGCAAGCATTGTGTTAATCCCCATCCCAGTGTGAATGTGGAGTTTTCTTTAACATCTTCTTTGAGCTATTTCAACCGAGAAACAGAAACCCAAACTGATACATATTTAACAGTCCCTATAAAATTAAAACGCCATTTAGCAGAAATGGAAATCTTGCCACTGATTCTTCTGTGTCTTTGCATTATTCCTTGGGCTCCATTTCCCACTGTCCCGTGCACCATTCCTACCCCCAGGATTTCGCAGAGCCATCCCTGGAACAGCACACTAGGGATGCAGGTACCGGGGAACATCGTGTTTAAAAGCTTTAAGCTTTCTGGGTGGGGATGGGTGGAGTTGGGGGGAGGCACAGTAAGGATTTGGAACTGAGGCAATTCCACAGGGAGTCTTTAGCATACTCAACTCACTAGATGCTGCGGAAAGAAACACAGAGGGCAGAGGGAGTGAGGGGGTAAACAGGTTGGTGGGAGAACAAGAAACACCCAACCTGTTGTACCTCAAGGTGTGTCTCGCTCTCCACCTAGTCTCACACACTGCCACACTGGCAGCAGGTTTAAGGCAAAAATGTGGGCTTGGGCTAGCACCTAGGGAAAGGTATGGGCTTGGGCTAGCATACAGGCAAGGGTGTGGGCTTGGACTAGCACCTAGGCAAGAATGTGGGCTTGGGCTAGCACCTATGCAAGAGTGTGGGCTTGGGCTAGCACCTAGGCAAAAATGTGGGCTTGGGCTAGCACCTAGGGAAAGGTATGGGCTTGGGCTAGCATACAGGCACGGGTGTGGGCTTGGACTAGCACCTAGGCAAGAATGTGGGCTTGGGCTAGCACCTATGCAAGAGTGTGGGCTTGGGCTAGCACCTAGGCAAAAATGTGGGCTTGGGCTAGCACCTAAGCAAGGGTGTGGGCTTGGGCTATCACATAGGCAAGAATGTGGGCTTGGGCTAGCACCTATGCAAGAGTGTGGGCTTGGGCTATCACATAGGCAAGAATGTGGGCTTGGGCTAACACCAAGGCAAGGGCGTGGGCTTGGGCTAGCACCTAGGGAAAGGTATGGGCTTGGGCTAGCATACAGGCAAGGGTGTGGGCTTGGACTAGCACCTAGGCAAGAATGTGGGCTTGGGCTAGCACCTATGCAAGAGTGTGGGCTTGGGCTATCACATAGGCAAGAATGTGGG